TGGCAGGGAAGGGTCCGGTGGAATAGCATCACCTGGATCACGTTAGTGAGGCTGGTGTTCTTTTTTATAATGTTTTTGATGCGCTTTTGCAGCATCAACACCTCGTCGGTCGCCCCCCAATCCGGACCCTTGTTGATCCACGACGCAAGCCGCATCGGGGGTCCAGATCTAAACTCAGGAGTGGCTGCCCAGTTGGCGCCACGGGGTTCAGTGATGTAGAACCATTCCTACTGCCATATCTTGACAGTTTCCACGAAGGCCCCTTTGGGCCAGGTGACATTGGGGAGTTTGCTCACCATGGCACCTCCGCAGTCTGCGTGCTGCCCGTCCACCACCTTTGGCTTCACGTTGAAGATTTTGAGCCAAAAACCAAAGTGGGGGGAGGGATGCAGCGGAGCGCCTCGCACACGACGATAAACGCCGAGATGTGTATGAAGGAGTTTGGGGCTAGATCATGGAAATCTAGCCCGTAATAGAACATGAGGCCGCGGACAAAAGGGTGAAGTGGAAACCCTAGTCTGCGGAGGAAGTGGGGGATGAATAACACCCTTTCGGCGGGCCCTGGAGTGGGGATGACCTGCTTCTTGGCAGGGAGCCTGTACGCAATGTCCGTGCTCAGGTACCCCGCCTCCTGGAGCTCCTTGATGTCCTTCTCCTTCACGAGGAGTCCACCCACTTGCCTTGAAAGCCGAATCCGAACATGGCCGGAGAGGTTGGTGGCGGTGGGGAGGATTGAAGCTTGGGCGTTGGAGCTCGAAGATGGGAAGGCTGAGGAAGAAGGAGGCGTGGGATGAAAAAGATGGATCTTTATCCACTTATATAGGTCGTGAATACCGAGTGCCCGCCTCGCTAGCCTTAAAACTTCGCCTGCTCCCGATGTGGGTATGCGCCGCAGTCGGTTGGGTTACCCAAATACCATTGATGTGCAATCCTGTATTAAGTGGGCACGATCTCTGTTTTGACAGGACATGCCAACAAGGCATGGCCTCAAAACACGGAAAGCGGGGTGTGAAAACGGTTCCAAATAACGAAGGTTCAAGTCTGACGCTTCATCGAAAAATTTGTCAGTAAAAGACATTATTCTTATTTTTATATATGTCATGCCTTTGCGACTAAGGCTTGTGTTTATTATCAAAAGCCGGATACAATTCTTTTACAGAGGAAGGCCGATGTGTATTCTTCAGGGAATCCGCCTTGCAATGCCGAAGACAATCTGAACGCCGAATATATCATCATTGAAGACTAGTTCAGGGGCTACTATGGGAGTCCTGGACTAGGGGGTCCTCGGGCGTCCGGCCTATTGGATATGGGCCGGACTGATGGGCCGTCAAGATACAAGACCGAAGATTATCTCTCGTGTCCGGTATGGACTCCTGTATGCGTGGATGGCAAGTGTAGGTGTCCGGGTGTATTATTCCTTTCTGTAAAACCGACTGTGTACAACCCTAAGCCCCTCCGGTGTCTTTATAAACCGGAGGGTAGATCGAAGGCAGGATCACAACATTGCTAGGCTAGCTAATCTAGGGTTAGCCGAATCGATCTCGAGGTAGATCAACTCTTGTAACCTTTATACCCTCGAATATAATCAAACAGGAGTAGGGTTTTACCTCCATTAAGAGGGCCCGAACCTGGGTAAACATTGTGTCCTTTCTTCATAGTTACCATTGATCCTTAGATGTGCAGCTTGGACCCCCCTACCCGAGATCTGCCGGTTTTGACACCGACAGACACCACTATCCAAAAGGTAGTAGATGGTGTGTTGATGATGAACTCCTTACTCTTGTGCTTCAAATGATAGTCTCCCCAACACTCAACTCTCTCTCACAGATTTGGATATGGTGGAAAGATTATTTGAGTGGAAAGCAACTTGGGGAAGGTTAGAAATCAAGATTCTTGGTAGGATTGGTATATCTTGATCTCAACACATGAGTAGGTGGTTCTCTCTCAAAAAATGTATGCTGGAAGTGTAGGCACGTTCTAATGGCTCTCTCACATATGGAGAAGGGGGTGGAGGGGTATATATAGCCTACACACAAAATCCAACCGTTACACACATTTGACCCAACTAGGTTAGACCGAATAGAAGAACTCGATGAGACCCATTTAGTTCAAAATGTGAACGTTAGGAATCTCGGTGGGACCGAGTGGAACAACTCGGTGCGTCCGATGTGCTAGGGCTTAGGGCAAACATCAAACCAGTGGCACCGATTGCATCAACTCGGTGAGACCGAAGTGAAGCAATAAGGCAACAGAGCGAATGCCAAGCCAACTCAGTGAGACCGACCGCTATTTCGATGAGACCGAAATAATTGCAACAGGCAACAAAGAATTGACAGCGCAATCTCGGTGAGACTAAGATCCGTATCGGTGTGACCGAACTATTAGGGTTTCTGGTAGTGGCTATGTCATATGAACTCAGTGGCTCCGGATAGGATGAATCGGTGGGGCTGAGTTGGAGTTTAGGGTTTTGACATATTTGGAATGAGAAAGTGGTTGAGAGGTTTGGAGCAATATCACTAAGCATTTGAGCAAGCAAGCCATTAAGCAACACATCATCCCCTTTTAATAGTACTGCTTTTCGATGGACTCAATGTGATATTGGATTGCTAAAAATGAAATGAAGAGTCTTGATCTTTTGCCAATATGTGTCCTTAGCATTTTGAGGGGTCCACATCTCTAGTCCATGCCATGCCATTCATTGAACTTTCTAAAATATTAAACTTGAATGGATATTAGTTCAATGAGCTATATGTTATTATGAATTACCAAAACCACCCAAGGATTAGTTGCACTTTCATACGCACAGCTTGTGGCCGCACTCCAGTTCCGCCACGGCCTAGAACTTGACGATGGCCCGTTCTGCCTCGTCCTTTGAGACGAGCAGTAACATGTAGCATCGTCCGCCCCAGTTTTGCTGACATGATCGGCCGACAAAGGTCGCCAAGGACCAGCTCCACGGGCCTTTTCTCCCTAAACTGTGCCTTTTGCGGAATGGTAGGCAGCGCTGCTTCCCGATGAGGCACCCTCACAAAACTCATCCATGTCCGCGATGTGCGGTAGGCCACAAACAAAACCTCCGCTCGCCATCCTTCGTAGCCCATTGAAGTGTAGGTGCCCGAGCCCGAGCTGTACATGGCCCATGGCAAGGCTCACTGGATAAATAGGGCAAAATGAAAGCTTGTACAAGCGATTCGGTGCACATGTTACCTTTTGACTAGGAGACGACTGCGCTGATCGCGTGCAGTGAGCACTCCATGGCGAATGGCGATGTCGTACCAGTTCTCGCCTAGTTGGTCAAGACTGACGACACTACTCTTGAGCGTAGGGACGAAGAAGACATCTGTGAACGTCTGTTGGTCTTCCTCATCCATGGCCAAGACAACGGTATCGGGGTCGTGGATCTTGACAACCAATCCATCCGCGAATTGCACCTTGCATGAGATTGATCGGTCCAGTTCGGCGTATGCATCAGTCGATCCGGTCATGTGGTTCGTTGCGCCGGTGTCAAGGAACCAGACCTCACCGCCACATCTGTAGCCATCATGTGTGGGCGTGATCACCACCTTATCCTTGTTGAGGGAGATGTGGCCACCCGTGAGATCCGATGGTCGGACCAAGCTTGGGGCCGGACTGAGCTAGGGTCGCGACCGCCAACCCCTCCTGGACGGACTCACGCAGGCCATCGTCAGGCTGGGTCCCTCATCCTCCTCCACCTGGACAAAATTTGTCGCGGCCGCCTCATTACGCTACTTTTGTGGCACTCACGGCCCGATTGCCCTTCTTACCGCAATACCAACACCTTTCCTGATCGCCCTCGCTGCGGGGACCACGTGTTGCCTACCCTATCGCTTGGGCTGGCAAAGCTTTCGCCTGCAGTTGTCGCCGGCACCACGACCATAGCTACCAACCGAGGTAGGACAAATTTGGTGTTTTGACCCTTTTTGTGAAAATTGAGCCAAATCTGACCCTGGTTCAAAAAAAAATCAAGATCTGACCTATTGCTGAGGTCGATGGCGGTAGAGTATAACTACCTTGACGGTAGGATTGCACGCCCTATCATAAAAAAGTTCTAAGTATCAATACAGTGTTTGTATCCACCTACCGCCGGGCGCCTCGGCAGTAGGGTTGCACATGCTACCGTCGGCCAGTTTGGCGGTAGGGCTGCACTTTCGCTGGCGTGGATAAGTTGCCTACCGCCAGAGGCCTCGGCCGTAGGAAAAGGATCAGATCCCGATTTTTTTTAAATCTGAGTCAGCTCGACGCAAAAGGGTCAAAACACCAAATTTGCCCACCGCTTCCCTAGTCACCGTTGCCGCATGGGTGCCTCTTCCTCGGCTCCCACTCCTGAGTGAGAAGCAGGCGTCCGCCGCTGGCGCTCTCCCGGCCGTCGTCCAGGCGGTCCTTGCGAGATATATGTTAAAATGTATGGAATCATCATACACTGCAACTGATATGTTATAAAAAAGAATACAACTGATATATGAGCGTGAAAGTGAGAAAAATGCAACTGATATATACCGTGTTTCAAGATCCAACTAGCAAAGAAAGTGCAGTGTGAAATATCGATGCAGTAAAACAAGGCAAATGAAGTATGGCAAATGAAGTATATACAAGAAATGCACTGTAAATTCCAATCGAGTAACAGAACATTGCAGCATCTCTCGACTTCTCTTAAAGCATCATCCTGCCACCGCTAGTTTTAAACATTTGTAATATTCACCATGCTACAGTTTACATCGAGTTACACCGGTCCAGCAGCGTTTAGTTATAAAACAAATGTACACCAGACAGACTTGATATCTAAGGCTCTTGGCTCGGAAGGGCTACCAGCGCCGCTTGCAAAAGAGAAACCAGTTTCAACCTTAGACTGGACATTGTGCGGCTAATAGACAGCTCGTCTTCACCAAAAGAAGCGTCGCTCTCTCCCACCTGCTGCTGAGCCTGAGCCTGAGCGACCTGACCTTCCAGGTAGCGCCGTAAGCCGGGCTCGACGACATCCATCAGACCAAGGGATGCGGGGGTGTGCATCCATCTCGAGACGATGAACCCGGCCAACAGATACTGCCCTTTGAGCACCAGCTCTCAGATATGAAGCACGGGAGCAGCACCTTACCGAACAGCAGAGACTTCTGATTCATCTTAGATTCAGCTTCCCAGTGTGCGCAGAGATCGCCCTGGAACGACCTCGCGAGATGTCCGACGAGGTGGCATGTGTGAGAGAAGAGTTTCGAGTACCCCTCTTCTCCAGCCATCTTCTGCAGGACTCCGGATGAGAGGACCAACGCCAGCAGCTCGTGGTCTTTGGCATTCGATGAGGTGGACGCAGTTCCTTCCCTGATTTTCGCCTCGACCGTCTGCAGGCACTGCAGCTGTGGAGCTTCGTATGGGAGCAGCAGCATGATTTTGAGAGCCATGAAGCAGTTCGGTGCTGCGGAAAGGAGTTCAAGCAAGCGGTGTGCTTCTTCGTCCTCTAGCAACCTGCTATGCTTTGAGGATGCTCGATCTAGAAGCTCAATGATCTTCTGGAGCTCGCCGAGCCCAGCAAGCTTTCTGATGATCTCCATCCAACAACTGTGGAGAGGATGGACAGATAATGACGACGCACCATCTTGCTTTTGCGCTGGATTCTCCAACTCTTCTGGTAGGGCCTCCCAGCCATCATCCCATCCATCACTCCAGTCGCTTGCTTCTTTTGGCGAATCCTGAGGCTGAACATATTCTTCTTTTGGTGAAGAGAACAGTTGCTCCCACTCTTCTAGCACTGCTTCCAGAACAGTAACACTCTCAACAGAAGAAGCACGTTCCGACAAATGTAAGAAGCAAGATACTGCAGAGTGAAGACTCGACAAGTTTTCGGGCGTGATACTAGTATCTGGCAGAACTGCAGTGACCATCTGATTAGATCTGAGTGCCACCAGACTCGCTGTGATGCTGCAAGAGGGAGTACTGCCCTCATCAGCTAAGGAATCACTTGTTCCAGGCTCATACCATGATTCCCATGGCTCAACCTGGGAAACAATCTCATTTGGAAGGCTTTTGAGGTTTCTTCCCGTAATACACTGCATCAGCTGCAGCGCATAGACACGTAGTTGGCTACCTAGCTGCATGTTCTCAGAAAAGGCTATCAACTTTCCCCAGACACCAGATCGGATCATTTCAAGAGAGTCAGCATGCTCCCCTACTGACTGGCTCAATGAAGACAGTAACTTATGAAGCAATGCCTGAGAATCACAAGAGCCTTCGATCAGATTGGACAAACAGCCATCTGTAGAAGCACCATAAAGCTCTAAGAGATCCAAAGGATTCCTCGAGTCTGCATTTACACTTTCCAAATTTTCCTGTCCTCCATGGTACACTTCAACTACAGTTTTGAAACCACATCCAGAAAGAACCATAGCTCGGCAAAAGTGTGATGTGTCCATTATCATTTCACTGTTAAAGCCAACTTGTACAAACATAGAGATGGCATCCCAACCTTGGTGCACTGTTATCTCATTATTTATTAACAGCTGTCTGAAGGTACTCATGCAGTGAGTTAACCGGTTCGAATCCAAGTAGCCTGTCCTTTCATATGAGCTAGCATCAGTTGACTGCTTTGGTATGTCGTCAACTAGTTTAATCCAAAGCGTTAACAGCATACAGAGAGGTTCCTTCCATGAAGGTTCCTGTGGTTGGCTTCTTGCTAAGTTGCAAGGGAAACATAGTGTGTAATACCTTCCAATAATGTATGAAATATCTGTGGCAGGAAGAGTTTGGATATACTCCTTGCAACTATCATAGTTCAACTCAATTTCACAAACTGCTAGTAACTTCTCACAATCTGTGCTGTTTGACCGTGCTTCATTGCGGCCTTCTAAAGATGCCAACATGCCAAGAACATAATGCTTGTAAACACCTTGGCGTGATACAAGACCCTTGGCCTGTAAATCAACATACATACTCACAAGAGCTTGGACCATATCAGCTAGAGCACTGACGGTTGAGGCATGGATATTCTTGCATACTTCTTCATTGAAGTGGTCAAAGTTCAGATTATCCAGGCCAGCAATGTTTTTTGTAGTTTAAGCCATCAATGAAACATGTTCAAGCTTCAAGCTGAAAGGATGACAAAGATGTTCAGGCTAGAGCACTGACTTTCTTGCATTCTTCCTCGAGGACCTTGTAATACTGAAATGGCTCAAGCTTATGTGTATGAACATGTTCTTGGTATGTCAATTATATCTTACTAGTCCTCTTAAGATACGAATGACATGCTGAAAGGATGCCAAAGATGTAGGAGAGGCGTTGCTTATTATACCCATCGATCTCTGGGTAGACATCTGAATATATCATAGCAATCACCCCCTTAGCTGATTTGACAATATCCTCCCGGAATTCAGCAATTTCATTCAGAATATCATCGTTATCCCAATATTCAGAGACGAGAGCACAGCCCAGAAATCGTAAAAGCACCTAAATTAATCAAGAGATAATATAGATATCAGATATGAGAAGCTTACATCACAAGGAAACTAAAACATAAGATGTTTCTGCATAGATTGCAGCCCTGCTGGGAGAGAGAGAGAGAGAGATACCTCTGTTCGCTGCAAGCCATAGTTCTCAGCTATCTTTACTGCTTCCTTTATTATATGTTTTCTCTCCAGCTTTACGGAGTCAACAAAGGAGAAAACAACCTTTTTGATATAGTTAGCATCGCCAGATAAGAATCGAGACGTGTCAATATCAGGCAGTACATTTTTCAGCATTCTTGCTTGATCAGCCATTCGTTTCTCCTCTTCTAATTTTGATTTCCACTCTCCCCAGTAAGTGGCATGTGCCATATCAATCTGGTCTAAATCATCTGATCAAAGTAAAAGTAAAGAAAAGTGAAAATCATATAAATGAATGGCATCTCATGAAAAAGGAAGACAGAATATTGGACTAGACAAGTATTCAGAAAATAAACTGAGGCAGTGATTCAGCTATTGTCTTGATATACTGTTGTCTTTAGTGCACCTACCTGAATCTATCGAGGTAAACTTCTCATGGAATTTTTGAAGCAAGAGATTTCTCCTCTGTTCAGGAGTAGAACATTCTTTCTTCAAACTGTTGAGGGAGCTATATGTCATTCCTACATTCATTATGCTACTAATCTCTTGATAACATTCTCGTTTTTTGAGCTCTTCCTCTATTATTTTCACTCCGTTGAAAGGGTCCATGAGATTCAGAAGAATTGAACAGGAAAGAACATAATCATCTTCATCAACGGGAGGCTCCATTACAGACTTTGCAAGAAACATGATTAGATCATCACTGGGAGCAAAACTATTTACACCTAGCCAATATATGATGCTATTTATTGCCTCCGTTTTTGTTGAAAATCGATATCTCCTGATGGGATGATTTGTCTCCGAAGAATGTTTTTTACCATCATGTATCTCATCATTAGACAACTTCAAAAGCCATGGCAATTCCAGTGCAGAGAAGGACAATAGTTTCCTATTTTCTGCAAAAGCAGATTCCCGACTATGTGTATCATCATTTGTGAAGTCCATGCAAACCTTTGATAGCATTTCTTTAGCAATCGCCACATGATCATGCTCTCTATCATGGCTAACGCCTTCTCTCAGGTCAAGTATATCTTGCACACTTTGCACAGGAAGAGGTGTATATGTAGAGCCATCAAAAAGAAATTGGGAGGGTTTGTTCCTGTTGATACCATTAATTGTTCAAATTTATCATGGACATCAAGTTCCTTCCAAGCATTCAATAGTTCCCCTACAGATTCTTCATCACAATGGCTAAGGGAGAAGCCCAATAGCTTTTCGCGGGTACTTGTATCCAAATTGTCAAGCTGAGGACCTCTTGCAATTGCAGCACATAAATCCCAGACTTCACCATGACCCTTTTTAGTCAAATTTAGACAGAGATCAAAGGCTAGCTGGAGGTCACCATTTACCACTGCTTCTCTAGCAATAGCCTCCTCAACAGCAGCTATTTCTTCTTCACTTCTTAATCCTAGTAGTTTAGCAACATCAATAATCTCTTCAAAATGAAGATATGCCCCTGTTTGACTCGTAATCACCATACGGATGATCTCCATAGGATCCTTTACCTGTCTGAACTAAACAGGGAGGATAGTCACCCCTAGACAAGGAAGTCTGACAGTTAGAGCATCAATTATATCAGTTTCCACTTGAACATTTTTGCTATTTGGTAACAGATTTAGGCATTCCCTAGCCTTCCAAATCTGAAAATGATTGTGCAATCCAAGTTAGTGTTAATCAGTGACGACATACCGGTTTGTATTTGCATAAAATACAATTTGGTGACATGAACTTACTTCGTTGCAGGACAATGTTGAAGCTGAGAAGAAATACTCCCTTGCAGCTTGGATAACGAGATTTTCAGCTTTTTCTGTGGACAAAGAAACTGCACTAGTACCTCCAAGATAGTTCCTGGCTAGTGAAAATTTACCAGCTTTTAGAAGCCCTCTAATGAATTCAGCGAGCATATATTCTGAATCAAGAAAAGGAAATGCCTTCTCTTGGAAGAGCTTCAAATCACGCCACATGTTAGCCCACTCATTGTCCGACCGAACAGGTTGACGTCTGCCAAATTTTGACAGGATCAGCCGTATAAGTTGTTTTACATTCTTCTCGTCTAAGTGTGCAGCAAGGAAGAAATGTGTTGGCTTTGGTACCTGCCAAAGTAGGACATGTTTTAAAACAAATAATGATGTAGCCAGTTAATCACATCCAGGCATCCTACCACTCGAAACTATTAATAACAAGTAAACCCCAATACAAAAAGGAAAGTTTACTGAGAGATCAAAGCGCGTGCCTATGTGAAAATAAATATATGAAGGAACCCAAGGAGATTTAGTGCAATGTCATAGTTGATTTAAGCAGCAAACTTTCTTTGAAGAGATACAGCACCTGGTAATAAGCAAAGAGCCTCCCTACTTCTACGTGACCTCAGCAACTTTTAGCATCTTCTCTCGCATATCAAGGGATTTTATGTTATCAAATTGGTAGGCTGTTGAATCACTGCAATAAGAATCCCCTGAATCACTTAGACGAGACAAGATATCAGCACACACTTGCTGCATTTCATCACAGGAAACCACACAAGTGCCAAGAGCTTGCTTAGCATCTTTCAAACTGAAATCTTCCTCACTAGCCAATAAAGATTTCTCTCTCTTTGTCTTATGGAGTAACTTTGACAAAATTGATGACATGGTATTCCACTGGTTAGTTGCAGAGCATACATAAATGCAGCAAATAGCAGTTTCTACCATCTCATTAAGATCCTTGAAGAGCCCACAAATTGGTGACTCCCCACAGCCGTTTTCAATAACAGACAAGCAAATGGACAGCTCATTTGCAGTAGCAACCTCTTTCATCCATCTAGTCAGGTAGGATTCTTCTTGTTTGTCAGCATTACTTGACGAGATCAAGTGCAATCTCTTATTCATAAAGGGGATAGCCATATCGTCTAGTCGCTGAACGACAGTATCATCTTTGGCTCCTTTCAGAATGATTTTAAACTTTTGATAGTCAGGTAAATCTTCCCAGGTTGCAAGGTTCATTATTAACTCATTCGACTCATCAGAATATACAACTTGGTAGAGGTATTTCATATCATCAAAGAATGGCTGCAGCTCCACTATCCCCTTTTGACATGCAAGCTCTATCATGGCAAGACAATTTTCCAGCTGTCCACTTAGGCAGTCAATGTCCCTAGCTCTACTCCTGTACCACTCCGAAAGTTCAGCGGCAGATGGCCATAAGAAACCAGTTGAGTGCTTCAAAAGTATTTCTGTTTTGACCTCTCCCCTCTTGTCCAATTGACCAGGAGAAGTGTTTATATATGCTGCCATCTGTTTGCATTCAACCCAATCACCATCTCTTAATATTACAACACTAGGAGGATATTTCCCAGGAAGCAACTGACTATAAGTCTGTACAGCAATAGTTTCTGGAATTGCAGACAGAACACGTAAAATGTCAGAAGAGATAGTATACGGATGGCGCTTCATGAGAAGATTAAGAGCTCCGATTTTGCCACTTTCAGCTAGAGCAATAGCAGTATCAACAAGGGGCGTCAAACGGAACTTGCTATATTCGCCAGCTGAGAACCTAAAATAGAAAGAACAACACATTTAGCTACAAGAAGTCCGTAACTCCCCTGTGCAATCAACTTGTGAAGTGTCTTTCCATGAGAGCTAACGCTAATGTGCATTGAAGTTGGAAATTGACATTCTGAAGTGGAAAAAAATCATCGACCTCTAAGAGTACATATGTTTAAGTCACCAGCTAGACTGGAAAATTCACAAGGCATTCACTTGAAGTGTTGACTACCCCTTATTTTCCCTTTTACTTCATATTAAACAAACCAAGATCCAGCTTGGCATTACTTTGGGCTCATTTGGGAATTGCAAAAGGTGGCACAGGCGTAATTGATTTGCTTGAGGAATAAAGCAGTATTCAAAAGTATCTATAGTCCGTTTTAAGACACTGCATTGAGACTCAAAACGGCTAATGCATGTATGATGGAAAAAGTTAAATCGATTATATTTGTAAACTTTTGCAGGATCAATATGGCTCAACAGCTGGAGCATAGTTGCAAACACTTCCAATGTGAACTGACTGCATTTATTATGCAAAGAGAAACCTTCCCATATTAATTCCCAAGAATGTCTCCAGCAAGTCGTTGTACCACAATAAACGAAGCCTGATGATACGACTGTCCCATGCTGAGCCATCACCACTATTATCCGGCTCCAAAAACTTGTAACAGTCTGTCATGCGAAAGCCAAAAGAAAATAGGGCTTTCAAAGCTGCTTCTGTAGGTCCAACTTTATTCACACATTCTGACAATACAAATGCTTGGTCTTTGATGTTCACCAAGTATGACTGTATATCATGAATATCTCCAGCAGAGTGCAACCAGCATGCTTTAAGCACGTCATCCTTAT